ATAGGGGGTACACAATTCTAGGGTTTACCACTTGTACTCATTTCACTTCTAGTTCACACATTCCTGTTCGCTTATTCTGAAACCACGTGGCGCAATCCGTGCACGCAGCAGCCGGTTCACATCATTCTCACGTTTACGCTTTAGCCCTTCTAGTATCCTTGCATTGGCACTATCCGAAGCATGAGGACTATGTCTACACACTTGCTTGTGATTTATCAAACCCTGGCCAGTAGTGCAGATGAATCCACAGCCACATATAAAGTCCATTATGATGGTAGTGCATACAAGGATCTACTGCATCCTCTGGTGCAAGAGTGGTGAAGAAATCTAGAGATGTAGCCTGCATGCAAGCAATTAACAAGCCATGCCTAAAATACTTGGAAGGTCTTGAAGATCTTCCCCTGAACCTGCATGCATCGACCACAGTTGTCAAACGGCTCTGGCACTCAGTGGCAAGAGGGGGCCAATCAAAGACTCTAAACTAAAAATGGCCAACATTAACAAAAAAAAAACAGTACTGACCCTACTGGACCCTCAGGCCGCATCACTTTCGCGCCCTATAGCACGCGTCGGCACGAGGCGCTTCCGACGGGGCATCGACGAAGTCGCAGGTATGTTTCCACGGTCCCTAATATCAAGCGTTTTATGAAGGACTGGTCTATTTTCGCGGGCCGTGATCTGCCTTAACAACCGGAACGCACACCGTACGTTCGTGCAAGCCGCGCGTAGCATGGGCCGTCTGGCTTCGTTAAATAAAAAAAAACTGGGCGGGATTGAGTAGAACGGGGCGGCTCCAGCGGGACGGCGGGTTTGAAGGGCGACGCCATGGCGGGGAAGGAGACTTAACTCTGAGCACAACATTAAAGTTGTGAGGGGGGGATATAATGGAGTTGGAGTGGGCCGTTATACGGGAACCTGTACCTCTTACAAAGTTGCGTCACCACCCGAAACCGCCTAGTACCCCCCTGCAAACCTTCACCCCTCTGCTCGACAAAGCCAAACCTTACGTGCGATTTTCGCACGTGAGGGCTGCGACTCCGGCGAACTAAGTTTCCGGACGATTTGTCGCGCATAAAATTTGAGCCGTCCGAACGGCTTCCCTAGCTGGTTACCGTTAGTACTAGTCGCTAACGGTTCTTGTCTTGGTAACCCACTCGTGTACTCTTTGTTAGTGTGATTTTATATTGTAGCAAATACGAATAACTCGATAAGGATATTTAGACAAGAAATCCAAATTGTAAATCACGAATTAGCACAGGTACAGACTGCTTCAATTAATTAGTCGAGTAACACGTCAATATTTTGTTTGCAACCTTTCATTCTATTCTAGTGATTGTCTAAATAGATGAACCGGAAGCAGAACTTACAACACTTACAACTGCTGGAGAATTTTAGAATGATGTAAAAATAATATAGAGTACAGTGAAGTTCGACCATCAAGCAAGAATAATGAACCCCTCCACACCGTAATTAACCGCGTTGATTCCGTCACTCAAACCGCCAGGGATTTGGGCAGATTGCCCGGAAACTGATCGGTGGCAACACGTTTCGGAAATCGGGTAACTGCGGAACATCAGTGGCAGCTCGGAAACAGTGGGCAATCAGAAAAAAACACCACATGCAAACTGCTGGAACACGATATCGCCGATCCAACCACGGGCTGTTTCCCAGCACACACCAGCATAGTTGCGATGCAGCTGACTCGTCCGATCTTGAGAGTTTTCAGCGAATGGTGAACGATATGGAAAACGACGACATTAAGGCGTTTGGAAAGTGGTTGAATTGGTGCCCCGGGGTACGGCGTGCCGCGTTGCGAGGGAGGGAATCTAGACAATGGAGGGACGACGCCAACGGCTGTGACGACATTTTTGTTTCTGATTGGCAAGCCGTTCCTGATGCGGAAGGACACGCTTTTGGTGGACCCCACCTGCACTCTCCTGCCTTGAAGCTAACCCAGACCAATGGTTCCCTCATTGCGTTTTCATATACTTGCATGCGGCGGAAAACCGAGGGAGTGTGCAATGATGTGTGGGTCAGCATCTTGAAAGGTTTTTCGTTTGATCTCCAAAGCTCAGGGTAAGCTCTATTTACTCCCGTTATCGCCTTCAACGACGTGATGGTGTCTCGAGGGAGCTTTTGGTGTTTGGATCAAGATGCAGATTCGAGCCCTAGAGTGGATAGGAGCCCGTGCATGGCAGCACCCTCTATATCCTGGATCTGATATGAATACTACCAATTTTATGTCCCACCACCAGTAATACGTTCGGCTTTTCTTACTAGACTTCCTAACAGGATCTTTACTTTTTCTGCCAACTGCTTCATACAAGGCGAAGTTTGTCCGTTTTGCGAATCTCAAGTGAGTTTAAACAAAGCTTCCTTAGCATCAAATCCAACTTTCTATCAGCTGTGATTAGCGAGGGGTGCTTTCACTAAATCACCTGTTATGACCGTCCGTTCTCCTTTTCAGCGAAGCGAATCTCACTGAATTTCTTTTTTTGGGCAGGTTGTCAAAATCTGTCGAGATGACTACTCGCATTTAAGGTCGATCTTGTATCTGAATCATGACATCAGGACTGCTTTCAGGCTTCCTGCGTTTGTTGAGTACTACTGCACCAAGGTGCAGACAACTGCAATCCTCTTTCCCCCTCCTTTCTCCTCTTTTCCCCTTCCCTGTTCTATCTCTCTCACACACAGACATACACACTCACGTGCACGCAAGCACACATGCACACACAGGCACGCACACACACAGACACACACAAACACACACACATTCACGCACACACACACGCACACGCACGCACACACACGCGCGCGCTCACACACACACATGCACGCACATACTCAAATACTTGCTTGACCATTCATTTTCTACTCTGTGGATTCTTGATTCGTTTTGCCTCATTGCAATAACATTGTTTCCTCGTTGCTATACTTGCCCTTATAGGGCCACATTCACGGAATAAAGAGGAGAGTTGGCACCAGCCCATTACCTATTGATGATATCGGTTCGGATGAGTCAGATACTGAGGTGTGGTTGGAGGTGGGACAGAATCATCAACAAGAGCTGGTGAGTCATGCAAATGCTCCCCTCAGCATGGTCAGATCCATTGTTGTGGATCGTCTTTGAGGTGATCCCTTACACTCCTTGGCTGCCTGCATGGTTTGTTGTGACGTGTTGCTCATTGTTATGTGTTGTCTGCCATTTATGTGGAGTTGATATGCTCTGTGGGAGCCAAGTATGATGTTGCAATTTAGGATCAACACTCATTCTTAATGTTGTACTCTTCTGCAATGGTATCACCCTGTTGCTGTATGAACACCATGATGCTGTATATTGAGCACTTTTACTGCTAGTTGTTCTGGGGGTGTGCTTTCTACTTTTCCTTCTGATGTCCGCCTCTGTACTGCATCATCCCTTTTGAATCCTATATCTGGAGCCAGAACCGTCAGGACAGACCACTCATGGATGGACCCCCAGCTGCAGAAAGTGTCGCTCCTCTTGCTGCTCCTGGTGCTGTTCTTGTTTCTGCTCCTCCTGCTCCTGCTGCTGCTGCTGCTCCTGCTCCTCTTGCTGCACCTACTACTGCTGCTGCTGCTGCTGCTGCCACCTGTGTTGCTCGTGCCGGTGCAACTCGGTATACTGCTGCTGCTACTGGGCCTCGTGCAACTCGTGCTATTGCTGCGGGTGCAACTCGTGCTCCTCCTCCTGCTGCTGCTGCTGCTGCTCGTGCAACTCGTGCTGCTGCTGCTGCTGGTACTGCAACTCGTGCCGCTCCTGCAGTTACAACACGTGCTACTGCTGCTGCTGCAAGCCGTGGTACTTCTGTTGCTGCTGCTTGTGCTACTGCTGCCCGTGCAAATCGTACTGCTGCTGCTGCAAGTTCTGCTCGCGCTCCTGCTTCCTGCGCAGCTCGTGCTACTGTTGCTGCTCCGACGCGTGCTGCTGTTGCTGCTGAACCTAGTGCTACTGCTGCCCATGTCACCCGTGCTACAATGGTTGCTGCTGCTCGTGCTACTGCTGCCCGTTCAAATCGTGCTGCCGCTGCAACTCGTGCTGCCTCTGCATCTCGTGCTGCTGCTGCAACTCGTGCTACTGTTGCGGGTGGAACTCATCCTGCTGCCAATAGTGCTACTGACTCCCTTTCCCTTCCTGCAATCGTACTATAGCTCCCTGTTCCCAGCAAGGGATGCGCATGCTGCAGCTTTGAGCACGTCACAACATTTATCATCTGCTCTGCAGCACTCACATCACAGCACTCACAGCGTTGGGACCGGATGACCTACCACATCTGCTGCTGCTCATGCTGTTGCTGCTATCTGCGCTGAGATGGATAACCGTCAAGGCGCACTTCGAGACATGACATGTGCGATGGCTCGAGTGCATGGTGGCATCATCTCTTGTGAAAGCATTATGGTAAAAGAACTTCGGGTTCCTGTTTGATCAAGACTGGCATTTCAACGGTGAAAGGGTGTCATCAAGTCTCTGCTGGTACCGTACATAGTATCCCACACGGCCTTGCAGTTGGTTGGTCATTCTGTTGTAGGTAGTAGGTACATCACAACTCTAGTGTTGCCTGTTGATGCCTTCTGTCTTTTTATCATCATCGACTTTTCCCCAACAGTGTTTGAAGATACTGAAGTCCTTAAGTTACCGTAGACTGTGCTTCATGTCGACATCAAGTAAACAAGCGAAGCACATACAGTTTGAAAAAGCTGTGCTCTACCCATGCTATGCAGACATCTCTGCATCCAGTACTGGTACACTGGCAGCAAATGAACGACTTGGATTGGAACCCTCCTAGTCCCTCCACCCTCCTTCGGGCCGATCTACCACTCCACCCGCCCGTCTGCAAGCAGTGATGGTACCGTAAAGTGTGAGGGAGTCTCACTCCCAACAACTCGTTGATGACCCATATGAGGTGCATGCGGTTAGTCACTGCCAGCACCATCACCACCACTCATGCCCTCTCCTCCAACCACTCACTAATGGCCCCGCCCTACCAGTGTCCACCTGCCCGTCTGCAAGCCGAGATAACGTCAGTGAGTGACACCACCCCCAGCAGCTCGTCGTCCTCCCCCGTGACCCACACGCGGTGCACGCGGTTGGTGGCTGCGAGAGCCATGACCTCCGCCAGGGGCGCCGCCATGCGGCACGTGATGGACGGGCGCCGACCCTCGGGGGAGAGCGACGCCATGTGAGCGAGGAAGTCCCGCACCTGTATCAGGGAGCGGGGATACACGCACGTCATTGAAGCATTCAAGCACACATGTGTCAGACGCGCAGGTTCGTAGCACATGCTCATCTTCTGAGGCGCCTCAACAGGTGGTGTGATGTGAGGTATGCCTACATGCATGGCATTCAAGCATTCATGTGTCAGCAGTGCACGTGCGTGAAGCAACCCTCACCTTCATGGAAGTAAGCTGAGCTAGATTCTCTGCATCCATGCCTCTCAGATCCGACACTGACAGAGTCCCCAGCAATTGCTCCCCACCCCCCTCATACACACACCTGCTCTGCACACAGGAGGTTGGATCAGCCCTCACCTTCATGGATGTGAGCTGAGCTAAAGTCTCCGCGTCCATGCCTCTTAGATCCGACACTGACAGAGTCCCCAGCAGCCGGCCACCCCTCACCCACCCTGCTTCTCCCCGCTCCCTCCCCCTCCCTGCCCCACCCCCTCCTCCTCCCCTTCCTCCTGCCACGTCAGCACCAGCAGCAGATGCAGCACCAGACCCCTCGCCCTCCTCCATCCGCTCCTCCTCCTCCGCACTCCCCGCCACCACAGCCACCGCTCTCACGCCACCAGCGCGCTGCATGAGCCTGAGCGCGGCAGTGACTGTAATGCCCGACACTATAGCGAGGGGCGGGAAGAGCGGGTCCGCGAGGCCTAGCTGCTCCACAGTGCGCTGTGCCACGTCACCCAGCGCGTCCACGTGGAGCAGCAGGAAGGCTGCCACGTCAGTCTGGGAGACAAAGTGGTAGGAGTGCTTGAGAGCCAGGGGTGGTGCTGCTGCTTCTGATTCTGCTCCTGTGGCCGGCCTAGCCGCATCTGATGCTTCCTCTGTTGTTCCTGCTTCTCCTTCTGCCGCCGCTGCTTCTCCTCCTGTTGCGTCTGCTGCTTCTGCTCCACCTTCTGCTGCTGGCGATCCCTGAGTCTCAGGTGCCTCAGGGGTGGCGTGGCCAAAGGTCATGGCAGTCGGAGCAGCATAGGCAGGAGATGGGGCAGCAGGGGGGGCGATGGGGCAGCGCACGAGCAGCCGGTGAATGCCCTTGCTTAGCGGCTCCATGGCGTCCACTAAGCTGACAAGGGAAGAAGGGAAGAGGTAGGTGGGGAGGTGAGGGTGCCGAAGGGAGAAATGGAAAGGGAGGGCTTTTGTTAGCATCCTAAGCCTGCACTCTCGGGTTCATCATCACAGATATTATCTCCCTAGTGGCAAACTGCGAGGGCCAACAAGGCGCAGCTATGAGAGTTGCAACTCTCAAGTCACGCGGCGAAGCTGGAGTGCGTCCCAGAGCGGGTAACTCTCAGGCGAGATGCCGATGAGGGTGAGCGAATGAGGGGAAACGAGAGGCAGCAAGGTGGAGGGATGAGACTTGCAACACACAACTCGCAACTCACGGCGTGGAGGTGGAGGCGACCCAGAGCGAGAGCCCCTCAGGCGAGTTGCCGATGAGGCTCACCACCCCCGCCTTGAGCGCTGCTGGCCTCGCTGCCTCCCTCACCACATGCATTGCCACGTCCGCCATGCTCACCACTCCCTGGTGGGGTGGGGCGAGGAAGGAGAGGGTGGAGGAAGAAAGAGTGAGAAGTGAGGAAGAGGAGAGAGAGGGAGCATGCATCGCCTTGTGTGACTAAATGCATCGCCTTGTGTGACTAAATGCATCGCCTTGTGTGACTAAATGCATCGCCTTGTGTGACTAAATGCATCGCCTTGTGTGACTAAATGCATCGCCTTGTGTGACTAAATGCATCGCCTTGTGTGACTAAATGCATCGCCTTGTGTGACTAAATGCATTGCCAGGTCCGCCGTGCTCACCCCTGATGGGGTGAAATAGCAGGGGAAGAGGAGACGAAAGGAAGAAGAAAACGAGGAGCGAGGGGAGGTTGGTGCGGGGGACGGAAGGAGGGGGAGAAAGGGAGGCGAGAGAGGGAGTATGTATCGCCCTCCCTCACCACGTGCATTGCCACGCCCGCCATGCTCACCACGCCTTGATGGAAAGTTGAAGGAGGGGACGCGCGTTGGTAGGGAGGGGAGGAGTGACAGGGAAGGGGAGGAGGGAGGCAGCGAGGAGGGAGGCAGCGAGGAGGGAGGCAGCGAGGAGGGCATTAAAGAGGACAATGTTTCTCTCTCTCGTCCCCTCGCTACGCATTGCTGATCTGCCGTGCCATCACAGCGGGCGGAACGGGGGGAAGAAAGGAAAGCACTGTAGCACAGCTCACCCGTACACCCAACAGAATACATCAGTGGTTACAACAGTCCTGTTACTGTGTACATTTTGCCAGATTCTACCGGGTCACAACTGCTGCGCACTAGAAACTGTACAAAGGATGTGTTACATGCTGCTCTTACCAGCTCACAATGCTCTCAACTCACATCGTTACAACAATATACAACAAACACTGTGACTCATTATAAGTTGCTAACAGCTCACACCGTTAGCAGCTCACACTGCTACAACAATAGACCCCATATGTAAATCGTCATAATTTGTTGTTACCAGCTCACGGCGGTACCAGCTCACAGCGACTCGTTATAAGCTCACAATGTACTGCTTCTCCCCGTCCACGATGTTCGCCCCGCCCGCCCCCAGCCACTTCCCCGGCGGTGCCGCCACTGGCAGCGCCACTATGCCGTTCGCGTTCATCAGCTGGGGGTGGGAGAGGAGAGAGGTGGAAAGCGGAAAGAGGTGGGAGAAAGAGGAGAGAGGTGGAAAGCGGAAAGAGGTGGGAGAAAGAGGAGAGAGGTGGAAAGCGGAAAGAGGTGGGAGAAAGAGGAGAGAGGGAGAAAGCGGAAAGAGGTGGGAGAAAGAGGAGAGAGGGAGAAAGCGGAAAGAGGTGGGAGAAAGAGGAGAGAGGGAGAAAGAGGAGAGAGGGAGAAAGAGGAGAGAGGGAGAAAGAGGAGAGAGGGAGAAAGAGGAGAGAGGGAGAAAGAGGAGAGAGGGAGAAAGAGGAGAGAGGGAGAAAGAGGAGAGAGGGAGAAAGAGGAGAGAGGGAGAAAGAGGAGAGAGGGAGAAAGAGGAGAGAGGGAGAAAGAGGAGAGAGGGAGAAAGCGGAAGGGGAAGGGGGGGAGGGAAGAGAGGCATGGGGAGATGGGTGGGCGGAGGAAACGGTGATAGGGACGGGGAGAGTGGTGCAAGGAAAAGACATGCAGGGGGGAGGGACGCGGGGGAGGGGTAAGCAAGAGGGAACACCGGTGAGTGTAGCATGAACTATTAAATGCATACAATCCCTTCCTTATAAGCACGTCCGTTGCAATCCACCGCGGCATGTCCTCGTTACCTCGAGAGCGTCCAGCACGGTGGCGGTGTCAGGCACCGATATAATCTCCCTCTTCTCCGATACAAGCGCGCCGATCTCCGTCCGCTCGAGCAGACTCGCCATGGTGCCGGAGTGTGACAATAGCGAAAATAATTCCTGGCGGCTCGAGCTGGTCGGAACGCCCGACCCTAGCAAGCAATTCCTGGTGCCGTCCGATCCAAGGGTGAAGAGTTGGTGACGAATGAAGCGGTCGCGAGCGAGAGGGAGCCTATGGGAAGAGATTATTTGCGTTGGGGGAGTCAGTCCAAGGAACTGAAAGGAAGTGCTCGTTACAAGCTGAGTGCGCATACATTCGTGAGTCTCTTGGAGAGCTACTGGGCTATGGTGGTAAATGCGACCGTCTGTAGCCAAAAAAAAACTGTCAACGAGAAGAGAGAAGCAAGAAGGGCTGCTATGAAGCCGATTCGCGAAGGCCGAGAAACTACAGAGACCAGCTGTGCTTCTGGTCTGGTTGAACACAAACGCTCGGACCTCCACACTCTTTCTGGTTCTAAATACGAGTTTGATAACCACCGAATTTCGGTTCTGCTGGAGGGGAGCTGGAATTTGAATGTGCTAGTTGGAGGGAGGAAATGCGATGGTGTCACACTGCTGAGGTTTACCACGTCAACAGATGCTACGCATGCGATGGATTGACGCAGATGCCACCTGCTGTCACGTGGCCGAATGACCGTGTAAATGCAGCGAGGCACGTGGCACGGTGAAGTTGTGCATTAATCAGCATCTAACAAAAAACAAATATACTGTTCGCCTTGTACCTGAGAAAACGTGTCCCGGATTTCTCAACAGGGGGTACAAACTCCCAAGCACCATCTCTCATCCACTCGACTCCCCGCATTTCACGCACCTTCGTCTTTCCAATCCACTCCACTCCCGCATTTCATTCGCTGCTACCTTCTATGCTTTCGAACCTACCTTCAGTCAGTCTCTAATCGTTCGTCTTCCGATCAATTGTTTCAGACAATCCATGTTTTCTCGATCGTTGTCTGGCAAGCAGTCCAATCCAGCCGCTCTTTCGAGCAGGCAGAGTAAGCAATCCAAACGTTGAACTCTCCCAGTGTAGCGTCACTCGACTCAGTCCAAAACGCGCCTGCGATTCGTCGGAATGCGATGCGGCTACTGCTGCGAGCGCGGTGCGGAGCCTGGCGGCATTCGCGGCGACAATCACGGAGGCGATGGCTCCTCGGCGTCGCGATGCTGCTGCTGATGGGGATGAACCCGCAGGTGCCGTGAACGAGTGCCTCTGTGTGCTGCTCGCGAGTCTTGAGAGTGCCCTCTCTTGAGGCGCCTCAAAAGTGTCCTCTCAAAAGCCGCGAGGAAGAGTGTCTTTCTGTGCTGCTCTTTAACCTCCAGCAGGTTTAGGCGCTGCCACGTGGCGACATCCGCGTCGCGATTCACGGTGGCAATTGCTCCTTGGCGTCGTCATGCTGACGCTGATGCTGATGCTGATGCTGACGCTGATGCTGATGCTGATGCTGACGCTGATGCTGATGCTGACGCTGACGCTGATGCTGACGCTGATGCTGATGCTGACGCTGATGCTGACGCTGATGCTGATGATGATGCTGATGATGATGCTGATGATGATGCTGATGCTGATGCTGATGAGGATGAATTACCAGGTGCTCACGAACGAGTGCGCTCAGTCCCGTGCGCTCACTTCCGCCATATACATTCCTTTCTCTCCGACCCCTCCTCCCTCCCTTTTCTTCTCTCCCCTCCTCTTCCCCCAACCGCCTGCAGTGCGCCGCGCCTATCCCGCCAACGGCGCTGCTCCCCTTGCTGGACCCCGCCTTCCCGCGCACCTCTGCGGCGCCTTTCCTTATCTCCTCACTCTCCCCCTTACAATCCTTCGTCTCCCCCTCCTCTCCCCTTTCTTCTCCCTCTCCTCCCCCCTCTACCGCCTGCAGTGCGCGGCGTCCATCCCCCCCACCGCGCTGCTCCCCCTGCTGGACCCCTCCTTCCCCGCGCACCTCTGCGGCTCCTGGCACTCCGATTACGCCGCTCTTCACTCCCGCATCCGCGCTGCCAGCGTTGCTCAATATGCCGCCAGCACCGCCGCTTCACACACTGCTGACGGTGCAGATGCAGGAGTGACAGGAGAAGCAGGAGAAGCAGGAGGAAGAGAAGATACACCAGCACCAGCAGCAGCAGCACCGCTGTCAGCCCCACTACCCTCCACCAACTCCTCCTCTACGTCCCCCACCGGCCCCCCTCCCCTCCGTTTCCTCACCTACGATTGGCTCGACCAATGCGGGGGCCTCGGTGACTCACTCGTGGGCCTCGCCACGTCATTCGCCGTCGCGCTATTGGACGGTCGGGCCTTCCTTATCCGCCACGCGTGCCTGCCGTGGGCCTTCCAACCCGCCCTCGTGGATTGGACCCTCTCCCCTGATGTCCCCCTCTCCCCCGCCCGCGCCATCCCTCGCGATAAGCTATCGGACAAGAAGCACTGGGAGGAGTGGCAGGGGGAGGTTCAACCGGGGGAGGTGCTACTGCTGGATCTGCTAAATCGGAACGTGAACCCGGATTGGTTCTTTCTGGACGGCAAAGGGGGTGGCATGAAGGGTGGCAAGGCGGGCGGCTTGTCTCGGAACGCAGTGAATGTGCGGGTGAGGTGGAATCGGGGCATGCTGACGAGGATGCTGGCAGGGCCATGGAGGGCTGGCAGGGTGAGGCGGTTACACAACATGGGCTTGCGGTTACCCTATGCATTCGGCTGCATTCTAAGGTTCCTGTTCAAGTAAGCAACGGCGAGTGTTTTGTCGATGGGCTTGCGCTTACCACATGCATGCATTCAAGTTTGGATTTTTTTTTTTTCTTCTCCATTCCTTTTGTGATACAAGTGGTGAGACAAATGGGGGAGAGGATAATGCAGTGGTGAGGTGGCATTAGCTGGAGTGCTGCTGAGGTGTCACATTCGGTTGCTGTTCCAGTTTGCTTCTTTCTTTCTGCCTCAGCATTCAGCCCGAACCACTTTTCAGCCTCCTTTATTTAATCAAGTCCGCCTGTTGCATTCCAGACCAAACCCGGAGGTATGGGCACGAGTGCAGGCGATGCAGCAGCAGCTGGTGGCAGGCTTGGCACCAGGTTCGGATGCCGGACCTCTGGTGACCGTCGGATTGCACATCCGGGTTCCAGATGCTGACGTGGCATGGCAGGAGCGGGCTGCGCAGAAGACACAAAGGGAGGGCGGCGACACAGCAGGGGCGACATTTGCGGAGGTGGCAACAGGAGATGTGCCTATGGTGAACGTGACTACAGCGAATGTGACTCTAGCGAATGTGGCAATAGGCGCAAAGGAGGAGGCAGCATGGATGAAAGCCGTGCGGAAGTGGTTGGTGTGTGCTGAGGTGCGGTGAGGTACGCGAGGGGGCAAGGAGAGTGCGGAGGAGGTCAGGGGGCGCAAGGGAATGAGGAGGGAGGGGGGGGGGGGGGGGGGGGGGGTTGGTAAACGGATGAGGGGAATAGAGAGGAGGGAGCACAAGCATTGTCTTTTCTTTTCACCAAGCTTGCTGACGTCCCATCAGCACTCGTGTCCGTCACCCCTCATCTATGTCCCTTTCTCCCTGCAACCTTTCTCCCTGCACCCTTTCTCCCTGCACCCTTTCTCCCTGCACCCTTTCTCCCTGCACCCTTTCTCCCTGCACCCTTTCTCCCTGCACCCGTGCTTCCTGCACCCGTGCTCCTCAGCAGGCCCGTCAGGCAGTGCTTTGCTTGTGGTTGCCGCCGTCCCTCTCCACGCAATGACTGTGGGACTAATTTTAGGTCGCCTCAATAGCTCCGCGCATTCCTCCATTCCACCCCATCTCTCCCTCTACCTCCCTCACGCCCCATCCCCCCCTCTCCCACCATCCCTCCTCTCTCCCCATCCCTCCCTCTCTCACCATCCCACCATTCCACCCGTCCCACCCGTCACGCCCGTCACGCCTGTCACGCCCGTCCCACCCGATAGGCAGTGGAGCGCTTCTGGCTGCCGCCGTCCCTCTCCGTGCGATGGCTGCTCGTCACCAACTCCGCCCGGCTTAAACTGGCGCTCAAGGGGAAATACCCTTACAAGGTGGGTAACTTACTGTCAGCCTCTCGTATATGAATCCCCTGTATTCAGCTGCCAGCTACTCCACTCCACCCCCACTCTTCTTATGCCTCTGCAATCATTCAAGTGTTTTGGCTTGCAACAAGCATTTGCCTTCCCCTTCCACTCCTTCCCCCCTCCTCTCCTCCTCCTCTTCGAGCGGTACTCTCTCCCTCTCTCTTTTTCTCCCTTCCAGGTGGTAACATCCAGCATCATACCGCGGCACTCCAACCTCCTTCATACAAGCCAACTCGATACTGTTACAGTCAGGAAGCTCGAAGAGTTGCCTCCAGGCTCGCCGCTTGAATCCGTCCATGCGTCGCCCCCACACAGCAACCGCGGGGAAAAATCTGATCCGTTGATTGGAAACAGGCACTCAGTAGGGAGTGCATCAGTGACAGCTGGAAGGAAGCTCACTGAAAATGACACAACAGTGGCAGCAGCAACAACAGTGGCAACAGTAGCAGTAGCAGCAGCAGCAGCAACAGGAGCAGGAGCAGTTGCAGGAGCAGGAGCAGGAGCAGGAGCAGGAGCAGGAGCAGGAGCAGGAGCAGGAGCAGGAGCAGGAGCAGGATCAGGAGCAGGAGCAGGATCAGGAGCAGGAGCAGGAGCAGGATCAGGAGCAGGAGAAGCAGGAGGAGCAGCAGGAGGAGCAGCAGGAGTATCAGGAGCAGGAGCAGCAGGAGGAGCAGCAGAAGGAGCAAGAGCAAGAGCAGGAGCAGGAACAGCAACAGGAGCAGCAGGAGGAGCAGGAGCAGGGGTAGCAGCATCAGGAGCAGCAGCAGCAGGAGCAGCAACAGCAGGAGCAGCAGCAGGAGCAACAGCAGCAGGGGCAGCAGCAGCAGGGGCAGCAGTCACATCATCAGCAGGAGATGGCGAGGCAGGCAGCAGGGAGGCATTCCTGGACATAGTGGCGGACTGGCTGGTGCTGGCGGGGTGCAACGTCCACGTGCTCTCAAAGTCTGGCTTCTCTGCCTCGGCTACCTTCTACTCGCTCCACCCCACCGCTGCCTTCCTGCCTGACAGGTGCTCGCCCGAGACCCCCCTGCATGCTGATACTCTTGGGAGGCTGCGCAGCGGTGTGTGAGTGTGTGCAGGGGTGTAGCGAGGTGACAGTGCGGTGGTCCGACTGTTTCTGGTGCTGTGATGAATACAGCAGGGCCAGCAGCAGCAGCAGCAGTAGTAGTAAGAGGAGGAGCGAGGTGACATTGAGACGTGGCCTTCCAGTCTGGCTTCTCTGCCTCGGCTGCCTTGTACTCTCTCCACCCAACCGTTGCCTTCCTATCTGACCAGTGTGCGCCTGAGAGCCCCCTGCATGCTGATGCGCTTGGGAGGCTGCGCAGCGGTGTGTGCGTAGGTTGAGGGTGTGACAGTGTACAATAATACGGTAGAGTGTGGTAGTGAGGTGTCTTTGGGAGACGTGCTCTCTCCCAGTCAGGCTTCTCCCCCTCGGCTGCCTTGTACTCGCTGCATCCCACTGCTGTCTTTCTGCCTGATAGGTGTGTGCCTGATAGGTGTGTGCCTGATAGGTGTGTGCCTGATAGGTGTGTGCCTGATAGGTGTGTGCCTGATAGGTGTGTGCCTGATAGGTGTGTGCCTGATAGGTGTGTGCCTGATAGGTGTGTGCCTGATAGGTGTGTGCTTGATAGGTGTGTGCCTGAGAGGTGTGCGCCTGAGAGGTGTGCGCCTGAGAGGTGTGCGCCAGAGAGGTGTGCGCCTGAGAGGTGTGCGCCTGAGAGGTGTGCGCCTGAGAGGTGTGCGCCAGAGAGGTGTGCGCCTGAGAGGTGTGCGCCTGAGAGGTGTGCGCCTGAGAGGTGTGCGCCTGAGAGGTGTGCGCCTGAGAGGTGTGCGCCTGAGAGGTGTGCGCCTGAGAGGTGTGCGCCTGAGAGGTGTGCGCCTGAGAGGTGTGCGCCTGAGAGGTGTGCGCCTGAGAGGTGTGCGCCTGAGAGGTGTGCGCCTGAGAGGTGTGCGCCTGAGAGGTGTGCGCCAGAGAGGTGTGCGCCTGAGAGGTGTGTGCCTGAGAGGTGTGTGCCTGAGAGGTGTGCGCCTGAGAGCCCCCTGCATGCTGATGTTCTCGGGAGGATGCGCAGCGGTGTGTGAGTGTATGCGGGGGTGCAGCGGTGGGCGCAGCAGTGTGACTGTGCGTGAGGTGCAGTGGTGGGCGCAGCAGTGTGTGACTGCTTGGGAGGCTGCGCAGCGGTGTCTGTATGTAGGGTTGCTGCCACGATGAAAGTATTTTCAGGCATGTAGAAGATGCCATGGAGCGGCAAGCAGCAAGCAAGATACCCATCTATACAAGTTACTGTGATAGGGACAACTTGCCCTTCATGACTAATTGAAGTACGGTAGTTGATTTTCCGAACTTGACCAAAGCTCTAATTTCTTCACATGAAACAAAATACATGTTTCTAGGTAGTATTTTCAACCCAAACTAACCATGATCTAAAACTTAAATGCAGGGTGTGCTCCACCAACAGAGCAGCAGCGCCATTTCATTAGTCACATGGTTGTAATGACACTAAAAGATAGCCACCTCGCTTACTTCCTATCTATTCTCCAAATCCTTCGATTCTATATCCTCCCCATTCCCCTCTCACCTCCCCCATCCTTACCTTCTTCGTCCTCCTCGTCTCCATCTCACTCCACCTCCTCCCCCCATTTCCCCACTCCCTACCCCTCACTCCCATTGCCTTCATTCCTCTCCCACTTCCCCTTCATGACCCCCTCACCATCGCCCCCCTCTCATTCCTCCCCTTCGCTCCCTTCATCCTCCTCCCCCATCCGCACTTCCCATTCATCTTCCTCCTCCGAGCCACCCACTGCACGCTCTCCCTCGTCCAGGTTCGCTGTACCGTCTCCACCCTCTGGCTTGCCCCCTTTAAAGGCACATTTAGCTTGCAAAGCCCCAGCAGCGGAATTCTTTTGAACGGCTGTCCGTGAAGATCTTACAGAACCTGCCTGCCAGGGTTTTGCTCTGAAGCCCCGGTCGGATGCCAGCTCATCAAGGGCGCCTGACAGCGTGGCATCAAGAAATGCCAGCTCAGCACCACCTGGTGCGTTGGTAACGAAGTCAGCGAAGTTGGCTGCTGACATGTCGTTGCAGGAGAGGGTAGAGCGGAAGACAGTGAGGAGGAGGAGATTGGGGGGAAGGTAGAGCTGTGAAGAGACCTAGGCAGGCAGCAGTGAAACCTTAGCATGACAGCAGTGCAACCTTAGCATGACAGCAGTGCAACCTAAGCATGACAGCAGTGCAACCTTAGCATGACAGCAGTGCAACCTTAGCATGACAGCAGTGCAACCTTAGCATGACAGCAGTGCAACCTTAGCATGACAGCAGTGAAATCTTAGCATGACAGCAGTGCAACCTTAGCATGACAGCAATGCAACCTTAGCATGACAGCAGTGCAACCTTAGCATGATAGCAGTGCAACCTTAGCATGACAGCAGTGCAACCTTAGCATGACAGCAGTGCAACCTTAGCATGACAGCAGTGCAGCCTTAGCATGACAGCAGTGCAACCTTAGCATGACCGCAGTGCAACCTTAGCATGACAGCAGTGCAACCTTAGCATGACAGCAGTGCAACCTTAGCCTTCCTCGTCCTCCACATCTACATCTCATTCCACGGCCTTCACCATTCCACACTCCCCTACACTTCACTCCCTTACCGTTCACTCTCCTACCCTTCACTCCCCTACCCTTCACTCCCCTACCCTTCACTCCCCTACCCTTCACTCCCCTTTCATTCACTCCCCTCCCCTTCACTCCCCTCTCCTTCACTCCCATCCCCTTCGCTCTCCTCTCCATCCTCCCATTCACCCCTTTTCCTTCCTCCATTCACTCTCCCCTAATCCTCCCCCATCCAAACTTCCCCTTCATCTTCGTCCTCCGAGCCACCCACTGCACGCTCTCCCTCGTCCAGGTTCGATGTACCATGGATCACCACCCTCTGTCTTGACAGCAGCGGGCATCTACTGACAACGCATGTCTGCAGCCTCCCCATCTGCTGCAGGCCCGCGGGTAACAAAGCCAGCCGCTTGCACTCACGCAGGGCCAAGTCCTCCAGTCCAGGCAGTTGCGAAAAACTTTCGGCCAGGCTGTGGAATTTGGGCAGAGACACCAGAGAGATTTCTTTCAAAGCAGAGAGCTTCCAGAAATCATCTGGAAGGCACGAGATTCCGACCTCGCACAAATAACACGACTCCAGTCTGCAGAGATCAGGGAAGGACTCGGGAAGCCTGGTTAAGCCCGGGCTGCTGTCAATAGAAAAAGACTGAAGCTTCTTCAGCTGCCCGAATGACTCGGGCAGAGCAGTCAAGCTCATGGCATCGGTAAGGTAGAGGGATGTGAGTGCTGAGAGTTTCCCTATTGTCTCTGGCAGGGCAAGCAGGCTGTCGGCAGAACTGATCGTGAGTGACTGCAAGCGAGAGAGGCGAGAGATGGACTCTGGGAGCGAGCGAAGCCGATGCAAACCGCTGATTTCCAGCCTGGTTAGCGATGAAAAGGAGCCCAGGGATGGACCGAGCTGCTGCAGGGGAAGATTCACAAGCCGAAGGACCTCGAGGGATGGAAGCCACACACCCGTGTCACCCTCCTCGGATCCCTCACAGCTGCCAGCAGCACTGCTGCTACCCGTGTGACCGGGTACCTCGAGGAGAGTGATTCTCCCCGCAAGGTCATGCCCGGCAGCTCCCGTGTGTGCATCCTCCGTGTGTGCATCCTCCATGTGTGCATCCTCCGTGTGTGCATCCTCCGTGTGTGCATCCTCCATGCGTGCATACTCCGTGTGTGCATCCTCCGTGTGTGCATCCCCCGTGTGTGCATCCCCCGTGTGTGCAGCTCCCGTGAGTGCATTTCCCGTGTCCTCATCCTCAAACAGCGACTCCAACGCGCTGCAGCCAAACAATGTTAGAGACTTCAACCGCTGCAGCTGAAACAGTGACTTAGGGAGCGACTTCAGATTGGGCAGTTCGCTGAGATGGAGTGATTCAAGCGATCCCAGCCATCCGATATCCTCTGGCAGCGCCTCGATTCGCGTGCAATTGATGACCACGAGGCTGGTGAGAGTGCAGGTGATGGCAGGGAGGGAGGCGGGCAGGGCGGGCAGGTGTGGCAGGGAGGAGAGAGAGAGGTCCTTGAGGCTTGTCATGTGGGAGAACTCGCTTGGTAGCGCGCCTCGTAAGCTGGGTGCACCACAGATTTGTAGGGTTTCGAGGGAGGAGAGGCTGGAGAAGGATGGAGGGAGGTGGGTGAGAGCCCTGGGTTCGAGCAGAATCAGTCTGCGCAGGCTACACAGACCATCCCCCATGCCCTGTGGTAGCACTGTCAGGTAGCGGCAGCAACTGATTTCCAGCAGCTCAAGGGAAGAAAGCAGAGTCAACGAGTCTGGAAGCTCTGTCAGTAGCCTGCAGAAGGATATTTTCAGCTCCTTGAGGCTTGTCAGGTTGCCAAGCGACGCGGGCAGGCTGCTGAGCCGCGAAAGCTCAAATAGGCGCAGGGCCTCGAGGGCAGTAAGCTGCCCGAATTCTTCGGGCAGAGAATGTAAAGTTTCAGACTTTGTGATTGTGAGCTCTTTGAGTGTGGTGGCAAGGTATCGGAGGGATGCAGCTGTACGGCCATGCCAACGTCTAGCTTGAGCGTGCGTAGGCGTGGGAGGAGAGCGACGCCGTCAGGCAGATGGTGGAGTGCTAGGCGGTCGAGGATAAGGTCCGTTAGAGAAGCCAGCTGCCCGAGACTCGCGGGCAGATTTGAGATCCCCCACACATTTTCCAGACGTAGGGTTTCAAGCGCTGGCAGATTCCCGAACCTCTCAGGCAGCGGTAAAAGGTCTTGGCAGTTGGAAATTTCAACTGTCAGCAGCAATGTAAGGTTGGAGATGGACTCGGGCAGCTGAAGCCTTGTGGAGTCACTGATGGAAAGTTGCGTCAGGTTGGTAAGCTGCCCCAAAGAATCGGGAATGGAAACGAGACACTGGCAGCCGATCAGATTGAGCGATTTGAGCAGCCTCAGATTGCCGAAGTCCTGCGGCAGTTCATCCAGGCCGTGCATTTCAATCACGAGATGCGTGAGAGCCTGTAACGAGGTGAAAGCTTCTGGAAGGAGAGCGATTCTCCTCCTGTCAGTGATGTGCAGGCTCTTGAGTGACGCAAGGCCGCCGATGGAAGAGGGAATGGCGGTCAGATTCGACTGACAATCAAGACGAAGTCCCTCCAGCCGTGTGCATTTCTCAAAGAAATACGAAAGCCCGTTCTCTGTGAACCCCCCGCGTCTGTAGCGTCGATCCATTTTATCGACATGGAGGCCCGTCAGATCTGGACACGTGTCGGCAATCCCCGAAAGGAGGGAGTCAGGGACGGACGTGATGCTGCCGTTGGCGAGGACGAGCTTTCGTAGCCCTGGGAATGACGAGAGGTGAGCGAGCAGCTCGCGAGGACTTACGTGACGCTCTTTGCGAAGATGGATGTGCTCGTGCACGCTACGGGCGATGCGATGCCATTTCTTGCACACAAGCGCGTGCTGTAACTGGCCGTCGGATGGACCAACGAAATGGAGGATAACGGAGAGAAGATCGTCTGACAGCTGCCCGATCGGTGATGCAGCAGCCATTCCGACTAGTTGATAAAATGGGACTAATGTAAGCGGTCGAAGACTAAAAACGTCGCGGCGAGAGTCTAGGGTTCAGCAGCAGAACATCCTAAGCTTCAGGTGTGAGGAGTTCGGATGGATGAAAGTCGCTGCTCTGTGAGAGAGTCGCTGTGACATAGGCTGGCTGGATCCAATCCAACACCTCGCAATGAACTCTCTGCGTCTACGGTACAATTGATGCCTGTTTGAGCCCCTCCCGGTTGCCTTGTGAAGGGGGCGTATAAGCCGTAACAATTATTTCGTTTAAGCTTCGTCAATTCGCAGCTAGCTAAAAAGGATTCGCAGGTGCTAATAAACAAGATCTGTTACCTTATTTGACTTCAGTCTCTTCTGCTTGACCTCGGTCTGTTCGTTACTATTGGTTGATAACCACCCGACGCGCTTATAACGTGGGAGCAACAGGCTGGGGAAACAACCTCGGGCGCAGCGTTTCCATCCGGTGCAAGGCAAATCCGCGTGCACTGGCTGGGCATCAATTGTATCTCAAATCTCGGATCAACGGTAGTATTTGAGGAACTGGCGCGCGGGAAAAAATGGGTGTTACAGACCGCACCGCACCCATTTTTCCCCTTCAGTTTGGTGACGTCACGTCACGAACTTCCCAGCCCATTCACCCATGGAGAGCCACCGGAACCGTCGATGTGCAAATGGATGGCACCGATACATTTTGGCCTGCTCAGGGTCTGGCTGGGTGCCCCTCTCATTTCTGGCATACTATGCTACTGTACTGTGGCGCTGAGGGCATGTCCCACAAAGCCCATGAATCACGGTTCAGACTGGTGGGTCACGGTTTAAAGCGGTGGATCCAACAAACCGCTCTAAAAGCACAGAACGTTTCTCCACCGCAAATAATGAACCTGCAGCGTAGCCTTCATACAGAAGCACGGTTCTCCACTCGTATGGAAGTGTAAGGAATTTTCTCGGCATTCCTTACGAAGCCGACTACATCGCGTACAGTAACAACCGATTGTTCGCCCGTTACTGCTAACGGGACTTCGCCGACTTCGCGCGCACTGTTTTGCCAAACCTCGCACTGCTGGCATGGCCGTGTCGGCCTACGCTTCGGGACTAGCCCGAGCCTCGCTCCAGCGTAGCACTAGCAAGCTCGCACGCACCGCGTTACCGTTTTGCATGTTTCGCGTATAAATGTTCGCTCATGCCTTCGCTCACATTTTGTACTCGTTTGACACCTTAGTGCAATTCTCGCTACCTCGATTCATTGCACCCGTAACACTTGGTATCAGAGCCCCTTTCTTTCGGACCGCGCATCTCCGCACACCAGGAAATCAACTTTTGATTTTTCACTCGAAGGGACTTACGCACCTTAGCCACTAGGAGCCGCTGTCCTCGCGTTCTCTCGTAAACGCGTGCAGCCACGACTGCGCCTAGACTAAGACGAGCCGACGCCCTTCGGCATGGCCGAAAATATCGACGTCACCACTCTCACGCAGGAGCGTTTGAACGAGCTGCTGCGACAACTGCACGAAAGCTCCGAGGAAATCGCGGCATTAACGGCAGAACGCTCATCACTGCAAAATGACCTCATGAGAGCACAATCTCAAGCACCTGGCACTCCGATTCAACCCGCACCCTCAACATCACAACACGGGAGTGTGGGGCAACCCGCGAGCGCGGCCAGTGATGGCGTCGTCCGCCCCGACGGAGACGACGACCACGGCACGACACACCCCAGAGCGACGCATGCGGCCCCAAGTCAACCTCGCGTCACGATTTCGGCACCAACCCACGATTCGGGACTGCCGTCACCGATGCCGCTGAAGCCGCAGCGCCCGCCATGCTTTGACCCGAGTCAACGGGGTGGTCCTACCGTTCAGGCGTGGTTGTTCACAATGAATGTTTTCTTCGACGCCAACTACGTCTCGGAGGACTCGGCGAAGATTCGATACGCCGTGTCGTTGCTGCGAGGACCCGCCATGGATTGGTGGCGCGTCATCGTCACGAAGCCGACCGACTACGCGACACTACCGACACGGGAAGGACAAACCGGACCCTGGGCGCCGTCGTATTTCGTGGAGGTGCCCCAGTATCGCACGTGGGACGCGTGGTGCGCAGGTCTGCGCGCTCGATTTGAGCCAATTGCGGCTTCGATCTCGGCGCGACAGAAGTTTCGCACTTGGCGCCAACTCGGTTCCGTCCAGGATTACACGAGCGGATTTCTGGCGCTATGCGAGCAGGTGGGCTACATGCATGAGAGCGAACGCATCGACCGCTACATCGGCGGCCTGAAGCAGGACATCGCTCAGGAAATCCAGCTTCGCGGCGTCACCGAATTTCAGGAAATTCTCGCTATGGCGGAGAAGCTCGACTTCTTTCGCCGACCGAGACCGGGGTCCTACGGAAACAACAATTGGGGACATCGGCCTCGTGGGACGAACGAGAGCGCCACGATACGCGCCGTCGCCGCAAATGCCGCTGCCGCACCGTTCAAAGGGCGCTGCTTTGCGTGCAATCGGCCGGGACATCGCAAGAGCGAATGCCCGGAAAACGCTAAGGGAAAGGGGGAAGCTGAGCAGCAGACACAGACCAAGCAGCAGGGAAACGCTGGAAGTCAGTAGCAGACGGGCCCTCTACTGACAGGTCACGCCGCTCGCCCGACCCAACCGACCCTCACCGAGTGATTGTGCCGGTTCACGCAATCGACCACACCCGGCCGAATAAGGAGGGTACCACGGTAGACAGCCCTATACTGCTCAGTGGGAAAATTGGGACGGACTTAGTTAAAATCTTCGTAGACGGGGGAGCCAGCCACAGCCTCATTAACACTGCTACAGCACGAAAACTGCGACTGCCACTGGACCGATGCTTACCTGAGATCGACGCACGACTGGTAGACGGCACGCCGCTGGCAATACGGGAACGCGTAGACCGAGTTCGGATTCGATGCGGGGGTAACTTCACGTTTAGCCAGGAAATGCTCGCAACGACCCTCGACGGAACCGACATTTTACTCGGGCGTGATTGGCTGCGACGACACAACCCGCGAATTGACTGGACGACGGGGGACTGCACTGTGCGAGTGAACGGTAACAGCATCGCCTTACCTCGCTGGGGCTCGCCTGAGTCTTCGTCGGTGCGTGTCAATGTGATCACGATGAAACGCGCTGTAGCGGCCGGAGCTGACGTGTACGCGGTTGACATTCGGGAAGCCGAGGCAGCAGACAAGGGAGGCGATTTACAGAAACTGCTGACCGGCGTACCGAGTGATCTGGCAGCACTGTTAAAACAGTACAGTGACATTTTCCCGGATGACCTGCCAACGGGACTGCCACCTCAGCGACCGCACGATCACAGGATAGAACTGGAACCGGGGGCACAGCCGACAGTACAGCGACAGTTCCGTCTGACCCAACCCGAACTAGACGAACTGAGGAAGCAGCTCGATTACCTGCTCGAAAAGGAATTCATTCGCCCCAGTTCGTCGCCCTTCGCCGCACCCATACTGTTCACACCGAAAAAAGACGGAGGGTTTCGCATGTGTATCGACTACAGGGCACTGAACAGGGTTACCATCAAATCCCGTTACCCCATCCCACGAGCCGATGAACTGATCGACCAACTGCACACAGCCCGGGTTTTCTCGAAGATTGACCTCCGAGGAGGCTACCACCAAATCCGCGTCAACCCACCCGACTGCCCTAAAACCGCATTCCGAACACGCTACGGATCCTTCGAATACACTGTCATGCCATTCGGACTGACCAACGCCCCCGCCACCTTCCAAATGACCATGAACGAAGCATTCCGCCCGCTTTTAGATAAGTGCGTCATCGTTTATCTGGACGACATACTGATTTACAGCCCTGACAGAGCACAGCACTTACAGGACATCGAAGCAGTTTTTAAAATCCTGAGTGAGAACCGCCTACTGACCAAAGCATCTAAGTGTGAGTTTTTACAGGACCGCCTGGAGTTTTTGGGACATGTTATTTCAGCTGCGGGAGTGGAAATAGACCCGAAGAAAATTGCGACGATTCAGGCTTGGCACGCGCCGACCAACTTGACCGAGTTGCAGAGTTTCCTGGGGTTCGTCATCTACGTGCGCCGGTTCGTCCCCGACATGGCGAAGCTGACTGCCCCGTTGACTGACCTGCTGAGGAAGGGGGTTGAGTACACGTGGGGGGAGAAAGAGCAAGCTGCCTTCTCGGCCATCAAAAAACTTTTGTGCTCCCCGCCCGTCCTTCACATTGCAGATCCCCACCGTCCGTTCGAGCTCGTCACCGACGCAAGTGACATCGCTGTGGGAGCAGTACTGTTGCAGGACTTCGGGGATGGCCTCCAGCCAATCGCGTACGAGTCCCGCAAACCACACCCGCCCGAACGCAACTACCCGATACACGACCGCGAAATGCTAGCGATCGTGCACGCGTTCAAAGTTTGGCGGTGTTACCTGACTGGCGCCGACGTGACAGTACGGACAGACCACCGCTCGCTACAGTACCTTCGCGCCCAACCGAATCTCAACCCACGACAGATTCGCTGGTTGGACTATCTCGAGTCCAATTTTCACTACACCGTCACGTACAAAAAAGGAGCATCCAACATCGCCGACGCTCTCACCCGCCCCACCGCCCAACTCCACGCCATCCTACTCGCCCAGACCAACCCGCTTTTAACTGGCCTATTCACCCACGGGTACCGCACCGACCCATTTTTCACGACCGGAAATTCACAGCAACTGGCAGAAGCAAAAGGAGTCTATTACGTAAAAACAGGCACCAACCGCATTTGGGTACCTGCGTACTCACTACTGAGGGAGCTGCTACTGCAGGAGGCACACGACGGGATTACCTCGGGACATTTCGGGGTCGAAAAAACGCGACAGCAACTGCAGCGGTATTATTACTGGCCGGAGCTGTTGACCGACGTACAGCAGCACGTGGGCTCGTGCCCGACGTGTCAGGTGATGAAGAGTTCAAGGAAGCGGAAGGCGGGTCAATTGCAGCCGATCCCACCGCCCGAACGCGCCTGGCAGCAAGTAACCATGGACTTCGTCACAGGGTTACCTTCGAACCCTGGGGGTAACGACGCGGTGATGGTCGTCGTGGATAGGCTGACGAAGATGGCACACTTCGCTGCGTGCAAGAAGTCGATCTCGGCCGAGGAGACCGCTCGCCTGTTCATCGCAGCCGTTGTCCGCCTGCACGGGATACCAGCAGCAATCATCAGCGACAGGGACACGAAGTTTACCAGCAACTTCTGGAAAAACCTCTGGGAGCAGTTCGGGACCCGGCTACAGTTCAGTTCGTCGTACCACCCCGAGACCGACGGCCAAACGGAGCGGACGAATCAGACGATGGAGCAGTTGATTCGTGCCACGTGCGACGACCCCACGACCTGGGAGCAGCAGCTGCCGTTGATCGAGTTCGCGTACAACAACGCCACATCAGCCACGACGCAGCAGTCCCCGTTCTACCTGAACTATGGGCAAAACCCCACAGTGCCCATGACGCCGAGTCCGGACAACCCAACGCCACGTGCACAGCAATTCGCCGAAATCCTGCAAGCTGCCCGCACCAGAGCCGCCGAAGCAATAAAAAAGGCCAACGTCATCGCTAAGCGCAACGCTGATCGCCACCGCCGTCCTGTCACGTACCAATCTGGAGATTACGTGCTGCTCGACACGCAAAATCTGCGACTGCCCGACGTACCGAAATTACGACCGCGCTACTGTGGACCATTCCAAATCAGTCACATGATCACACCCGTCACTGCACATCTACTGTTGCCCACCGACTGGTACATCAGCCCTTCGTTCCACGTCAGCCTGCTTCGCCCATACGTCCCGACCACAAGTCAACTGCCGCGTCACCGCCCACAATCAATGACTCGCCCTGCATCGGAGCCGATCATCGAGCCCGAAAAAATCCTGAGCCATCGGATCCGCCACCCCACGGGAATCAGGAGGATTGAATTCCTCGTTCGCTGGAAGGATCGCACGCCAACTGAGGACAACTGGGTGCCCCTGACCAACATCGAAAAACACCCTGCCCTGCAAGTGTACCTGAGGAGCCGGGGATTCCGCGATATCCACGCACTCGCGTAGCGGAGGGGGCTTCTTAGGGGGGGGGGTAGTGTAAGGAATTTTCTCGGCATTCCTTACGAAGCCGACTACATCGCGTACAGTAACAACCGATTGTTCGCCCGTTACTGCTAACGGGACTTCGCCGACTTCGCGCGCACTGTTTTGCCAAACCTCGCACTGCTGGCATGGCCGTGTCGGCCTACGCTTCGGGACTAGCCCGAGCCTCGCTCCAGCGTAGCACTAGCAAGCTCGCACGCACCGCGTTACCGTTTTGCATGTTTCGCGTATAAATGTTCGCTCATGCCTTCTCTCACATTTTGTACTCGTTTGACACCTTAGTGCAATTCTCGCTACCTCGATTCATTGCACCCGTAACAGGAAGACACCTTGGGAATGTCGCCGCCAAAGTCCTTACATGAACTGGTTTCTAATCACCACGCGCTTGGCGAGCGGTTTCTTTTGCAGAGAAAAGCACAAGAAGCTTGTTCTTACCTTCGGGCCAATCCGTCTTCGTACGTGTAGAGTAGCACGAAATGTTGCGCGCCTCGTGACGTTGGAGGCCATTGCAACGCCACACCGCCACCTTGAGTACGTGGCAAATCCATACCGTCCGTTCAGATGCGCCGTTGATCATGGGTAGAACGAGGCGAGTATTTCAGCTCTCAAGGCGCCGTCACAGCACAGCCAAAATGAAATCGGCCGCCCCAGACGCGCTGCGATCGTCAGAGAGCGCGTCGCGCTTGACCGAAACGTCGCCGGCAACCCTTCCAGATCAGGCGACGTCGCACGAGAAGCCGCAACAGCGCATCGTTCACGTGGACGATCCCGACCGTACGATCCGAGAGGCCGAGCTAGAAGCATCGGACGGCGGAGAGGGCCTGCTAGCGAGGTGGAGGATACATAGGAGCCGATTGGCTAATAACCGCATCCGGACGAGTAAATACACGCTGCTAACCTTCCTCCCTCGCAACCTATTTCCTTCCTCGTGCTAATCTTAATCAACCAGATCCCTCAGCTCGCGATCTTCGGCCGTTACATCTCCGTCATTCCGCTGCTCTCCGTGCTGACGGTAACAGCGATTAAAGACGCCTTCGAGGACTGGCGACGCCACCGCGCCGACGCGCGGGAGAATGGGCGCGCGAGAATGGCCGCGGGGGCCAGTGGTGCTCTGCCACGTGGCAGAGCATTCGCGTGGGGGAAGTGGTGCATGTTCGGGGGGACACGACAGTCCCGTGCGACATCGTGCTTTTGGCGTCTCGCGACCCGTCGGGTCGCGCGTTTGTGGAAACGATGAGCGAGACGAACCTCAAGACCGGGTACAGCGTTTTTGCCTCCCCAAAATAGCACCGCGCCGGTTGCTGGCGTAGTAGAGGGCATTGATAGCACATGCGGTGGTGGCGCTGATGGCACTCTCTCCTTGAACCACGATCAGGGGCGGCAGCTCTCGCAGCAGCAGCCTGAACAGCAGCCCCAGCAGCAAAACTAGGCGCAGAAGCGTAGGAAGAAGCAGCAGCAGCGCAGCAGCGCAGCAGTCGAGGCAGCTCTGCAACCGCAGCAGCACGGCAGCAGGGGCGTGGCGATGTGATGGGGGGGTTGGAGGAGGTGCGGATGAGTGGGGTAGAGAGTCAGAGAGAGGGTGAAGGATAACATTCCGCACCACTTCCGAGGAGGTGAGGCGCAGCGATGTGAGGGTGGGAATGGGAGGAGGTGAGGTGTGTCGATGTGGGGATGTGAGGGTGGGAATGGGAGGAGGTGAGGTGTGTCGATGTGGGGATGTGAGGGTGGGAATGGGAGGAGGTGAGGTGTGTCGATGTGGGGATGTGAGGGTGGGAATGGGAGGAGGTGAGGTGTGGCGATGTGAAGGGGGGAATGAGATGAGAGGAGGTGAGGTGTGGTGAATGTGAGGGTGGGGAGTGGGAGGTGGGGGGAGTCAAGGCGATGTCAAGGAGACAGTGAAGGGCAACGTTTTGCACCACTTCTGAGGAGGTGGGTGAGGCGCGATGATGTAAGGAGGGGAATGGGAGGTATGAGGAAAGGAGTGGGGGGAATTGTGGGGCAAGGAATCTTGGGGCAGTGGCTGGCTGCACGGCACCGCTCTCCTTTGAGGCGCCTCAAGAGCACGGCACCGCTCTCCACCACATGTGTGGCTTCTCAACTTTCTCCATCCCCACCCCTCAAAGGGCGGGCCCTCACTTTGCCTTCTCTGGATGCCTCGCCCGCCCCTCCCGGGCCATCCCCACCCCTCCCTTCACGCATGTGGCTGCCAAACCCACACCTCTGAAGGCTCGTTTTCCTCATGAGAAATCTCCACGCCTCACTTGCACCACTCAACTTGCACCACTCAACTTGCACCACTCAACTTGCACCATCTAATGGTTCATTTTCCTTTCACTGCCTCCCCTGCCCCTCTCCCCACCTGTCCCACCCTGACGTGTGTGTGGTTGCAGGACCCTGGCGTGTACCACATGAGCATCTTCCTAGCTTCTCACGTCTCTCGCCCCTACCTGCCACCGCCAAACAGGTACGGCCGTACCTATGGCAGTGCAACAGGGTTCTTACACAGGCTCAAACAGGTAATTTTTTCTGCTGTCTGTTGTGCTGAGCTGGAACAGGTAAGCCAGCTGGTTCCTTCCGCACACAGCGCACAGCTGGTCAGCCAGTCGAATCAAGTTGCGCACTCATTTGCCCCATGACTCGTTCTTTCACAGTTTCAGCATCCCCACCTGCGCTACCCCTCTCCTTCCCTCCCCCCCTCTCCTGCACTCCTGCAAGCTGGTGGACGAGGTGCGAGGTGCGAGGTGCGGGCAGTGAAGGGCGTGAGCAAGCGCCTGTGTATGCCTTTCCAAGCGTCAACCCCACGCCTTCTCCCCTGTGCTCCCCACGCATCCACACACATCGTGCCCTTTCCCCCCACCCTGCCAGCTAGTGGACGAGGTGCGGGCAGTGAAGGGCGTGAGCAAGCGGTTGTGCCCGCTGCGTGTCTCTCTGGATCGGGTCATTCTCACCGCCACTGGCGTGCTGCTGGCTTGCTGGCAGTTGAAGCATCAGTGGTGTTTGCATGGAGTGCTTGCATGCACATGGTGTCGCCCTCACAGCTACACGCATGCACTCGTGCCCATGGCACTGGAACGTTCCATTCGCACTGCCACTGCTGGCATGGGCAGTGCATGAATGGTTCACGGGTGGTGCATGGGAGATGCAAGGCATGCATGATGCACCATGCTCGCATAGCATCGCACATGCAATTGTTGTTCACCTCTCCGCACCAGGTGGTGGAGGGCACGGATCCAGCGGAGGTGACTTTTGAGTCGATTCAGAAGCCACTTGGATGCAGGACAACATTCCACCTCTCCCCGCACCAGGTGGTGGAGGGCACGGATCCAGCGGAGGTGACTTTTGAGTCGATTCAGAAGCCACTTGGATGCAGGACAACATTCCACCTCTCCCCGCACCAGGTGGTGGAGGGCACGGATCCAGCGGAGGTGACTTTTGAGTCGATTCAGAAGCCACTTGGATGCAGGACAACATTCCACCTCTCCCCGCACCAGGTGGTGGAGGGCACGGATCCAGCAGAGCTGAGGGACGAGCTCAAGGAGGCTCTGCCCCGCGCTCCCAAGCAGCAGCTGGTGGGTGCCCTCCTGCATGATGAAGGACTGGTGGGTGCCCTTATGAACGCTCAATAGAGTAGCGTTTCCATTTTTACCACCAGAATCATATCATATGCGAGGGCCGATCCCAAGGAGGCCCTCCAAAGCAGCAACTGGTGGGTGCCTGCCTGCATGAAGACTGGTGGGTGCTCTCGTGAATCCTCGATAGGGTTTCTCCTTGCGGCTGCTGCTCTCAGACAAGACAATCATGTGGGACGGACGAGCTGAAGGAGAGAGGCTCTCCTCTGCCACGCGCTCCAAACCAGAGCAGCATCTGGTGGTGGGTGCCTGGCTGCCGCCCTGCTGCTACTACTGCTCTATGTGCGTGTGTTTCAAGACCACTCAGAACGCAGAGGCGAGCTGCTGGATGGGCTGACCGCGTGGACTCTGCTTTGCATGACAAACCCGCTGCAGCCGCCTCAGTGTATGCTTGCTGTGTGGCAACACTATTCTACCTCACATCCTTTCTCCTTCCCCCCGTCCCCATGGCCCACAACCCTCAAATCCGTCACTTGCAATCTCAACCCCCCTTTTCCATCTTCCCGTTTTCACATCATGGCACACTCACATCCAGATTTTGTTTTCCATGTTCACCACCCTTACAACCGTGCTCGCCTTGCCCTCACCCACCTGCTCGTTCCCCCCTCCCCCAGTACAACCGGGTCATACTGCACACATCACTCCTCTTCTCATTGACCGTGTTCACCTTGCCCTTCTCCCACCGGCTCCCCCCTTCCCCACTCGCCCCTCCCCCAGTACAACCGGGTCATGCTGCAAGGGTCATTCTCACTTCTCGCTACTCAATTGTCCCTTTTCATGAATTCCCATCTCCCACTCACTACCAGAAGCTAATACAATGCCGAGTCAGCGATGCCCATCTTCCGCTCCATAGTCAGCGAGCTCAACCAGAAGCTCTGCCGCAAACAGGCACGCTTCCATCCCTTCCGCGCCTGCTCTTTCCACTACCCTCAACTCTGCCTGCGCTCTGCCTCTTCCTCATTCCCTCCCATCCCTCGCCCTGTCATTTCCTTTTACGTGCTTCTTTTTCTCGCTGCTCCCTTTTCCCACTGTTTCTTCTTTCTCCTCTCCCATCCCAACCCCTTTATCTTGTCGGCATCCTGTCACTCCAGCCTTCACCCGAAGCATTCTCTCCGGTCCTCGTATGCTCATGTTCCCCTCGCAATCGAGCACATCAGCTTGCCACATGCTGCTGCATTGCCATCCTTTCTTCCACAACACCACACAAGAGAAGGGAGTAACAAGCCCTTGTGCAACTCATCATCTCTGATATTGTTTCAAAGCTCTCTTGCTGTTGTGGTCACCCCATGGCATCCAGACAGTGGTGAGAGAGTTGTGGAACGTGGAGGAGATGCAAAGGGACTCACAAGAATTTATGTTACACTATCTTATATCCCCACATGCCTCTCTTGCTGTTGCGATCACCCCATCCATACCATGCCAGACGGTGGTGAGGGAGCTGTGGAACGTGGAGGAGATGGATGTGTTGGCGCTGGCGCTACAAGGCAAGATGAGCGTCAAGCGGTTCAACCTCACGTGTATCCAACCAGACTGGGTTGGCATGATATTAGACTGTTTCCTCTTAGGCGTAACATGATAATTGGATTGGGTTGTCCTTCCCACGGGATTCTTAACTGAGATATTTGTTGTACAAAGTGATTCTCCAACAAACCAAACAAAGTACCCCCTGAAATGTCATGGAAACTTGCATGTTCCATGATCACACGGATAGATCATGGGCCCTCAGAGGCTTGAAATCAGTCTCTTCCCTTATTCTCTAGGGGATTAACATTGTTGGGAATATAAACGCATGACTTAGTGCGTTTCTGTAGTATCGAACCTCACCCGATACTGAAGCACAACAAAAAGGGTATGAAGTCGAAAGGGCGCGTACCACATCAAACCGCAACTGGAGGTTGCGATCTGTAACCGCCTGGAGGTTACGTAACAGCAAGCGACGCTTCAGCGAACAGTAACCGCCTCGATAGTCGAAGCGTTACACGTCTCGATAAAAATAACCGCTTCCTGTAATCTATCGTTCCTATATATTCTTGTATGCTCCTTGCTTTAATCAATTACTAGCTCTCACACACCAGCACAAGTACATTCACTCAAGTCTTACGCTGTGCTACTCTAGCACCTACTAGCCTATTCTCTGAAAAGACCCTAAGGCTGAAATTTTCAGCCCAACATGGTATGAGAGCGGTCAGAGAACAAGGCTCTCGTCACTAAGCCTCTCTCAGGCTACCAATCTGCAAGCAAACAAGAAGTTCAACCTTTATTCAAGAAAGGCAAGACATGGCAAGTGGCAAAGAAAGAAGGTCATCTACGGGATCTACTCTACCCCCGGTCTCCGAGTTGCAGACCGAAGGAGGAACAACGCCCGGATTAACGCCAGAACGATCTACTCAGGCGCCAGGAGCGCCGCCAACAAGCTTAGACCCAAGCTTAATGGAGCAATTCTTCAACTTCATGTCGCAGCAGCAGTCCTCACAACCTGCAAACAGCAACAGCGTAAACAACGGAGCGGCACCAATGAGTATTGACAACTCATCGTTCGGACGACATAATCAACAAACACCAGATTCAGTCTCACCTGGTTCCTTCACGTTTATGCCGCCTCGCCATCCAGCGACTCCTCTTCCCGCCATCAAACGAGACGCCGAAGAAGTCCTGCAAGTACAAGCACAGTTCAACAACATCCTGCGACTGCACACATCCACACCATTCAACGGGAAAGACTTCTATTCTTGGAGTTTCGAGTTTGAACTCCTGATGGAAGGCACGAATCTTCTTGGATTCTTCAACGGTACCTGGCCATATCCACACAACGGCGAAGACAAAGACAAGGAAAAATATACTTATCACTATCTGATGGCCTACACCGTACTTCTTCGAAATTTGTCGCCGAACGAGCAGCAAAGCATCCGCGCCTACCGGAACTACGCAAACTCCGCGGAACTCGCCTATCAGCATCTGCGAAGCATTCATCAAGCATCCGACACCGCTACACAAAGCAGACTCATGGCACAACTGACAACAGCTCAAATGCAACCTGGAGAAAAGGCCATGCCTTACATCAGTCGTTGTCAAGGACTACGCGACAGACTCATTCGCTGCGGAGGAAACTTATCTGAAGAAGCGTTTGTAACCGTCGTTCTCGCCGGCCTTGGACCTCAATGGCGCACCACCCGTTCACTTCTTTGCGCTCACGGTCGACTCTCCGAGATGCATCTCTGCGCCGAACTTCACGCCGAGCAGCAGGAAATGGACCTGTTTGAAGAACGCAACAACAAAAGACATCATCAACCAGTCGTTCTTTACACCAATCGACGACAGCCAAGTTACCCAAATCGAAGACACGTACCTCCTTACTGTCATCTGTGTCGGACATCAGGACATACACGCTTCAACTACCCTCAGCAACAATGACAACCAGCACCATTTTCTCGTCCTCTGCGACCAGGGCCTCCTCACATCGCGTCAACTCAACAACGTCCCGCGACCGCCTCAACGACTACTTCAACGCAACCATCAACCTCCACTTCGGGACCTGCACAGACATCAAGAATCGTCGCCATGGCACGAACAACAGAGTCAAACATCGACTCGTGCATTACCAGCTCACCACCGACTTACAGTTCCGACGAACGACCGTCACCGCCACCGTCATCTCTTAATGTGAATCCAACGTATGCTGCCATCGCAAATAACGCACCCACCGGACCCGACACATGGTTCCTCGACAGCTGTTGTGGTCACCACATGTGTTCTTCATCACGATTTCTTCAGCGCGAATGACGTCTTCCGCGAGATGTCATCATCACCGTCGCCAACAACGAAAACCTGCGCACCAACAAACAAGGAGCCGTGGAGCTTCAGTCGAATGAAACAAACGTTATTCTTCAATTAAACAAAGTGCTCGTCGTCAACAACATCGGCTTCAACTTACTGAGCGTCAGCCAACTCATGTCGAAAGGCGTTCACCTGGAGTGTGACTCCGACGCCCGGGAGATTCGTCTTTACCACGGAAAAGGGGGGGTCTTTATCGGCCACGCAATTCAACAAGACGACATCTTCGTTCTTGATTTCGTCCCCGACAAAGGCCCCGCCGACAGCGATGGCATAGTCGCCTTCGCACCTTGGACGCACCCGCCTGATCTTGACCCGAACTTCAGTCCTTAAGGCTTTTGGTACTCTCGTACCATTCCCGAAGCTGAGCGCACCAACGCGCTTGCCGTCCTGCAAACACAAGCAACAACACCTGAGTCAGCACCCGTCATCGAAACAACAACACCCGACACAGCACCAACAATCACCGAACCTGCAAATGAAGAACCAACCGTCGTTGCGGAACCCTTTTCCGAAACCCCACAGCCCGGTCCCTCCGTCGTGCCACCACCACCGACACGCCACCGACAGCCGCCCAACAGTTAACGCCAGCACCACGCGCGGTTCATCGAAGTGCAGCAACACACGCCGCCTTCTTCGCCAACGCAGACTTCTATCAACGCTCCGTCGGTCACAGCGCCTCCGAAGACATCTGGCATCAACGCCTTGGATATCCTGGTAACAAGACACTCTATAACACAATACGAGCCGGAGTGTTAGACAAGAACGCTCTACTTCTTCCCAACGGACGCGAACTCGAACGACCACGCGGCACTTGCTTCATCTGTCCGAAAGCGGACTTGCCTCACCAACCGTTCCCGTCACATCACAACCCGAGCGCCCCCGTTTATCAACCACTTAAGAAAGTCTACAGCGACATCTTATACATACCTCGAACCGAAGGCCGTGAAGATCTGAACTACGTCATCACCTTCATCGACGCGGCAACACGTTATGTCTGGCACGTCAACTTAGCGTCACGAGATATGGCCCTAGAAGCCTTCACAGCCTGGCTACCTGTCGCTGAAAGAGAATCAGGAGTAAAACTGAAGAGTTTTCAGTCAGATGGCGCAAAGGAATACCAGTCAAACCAATTCACGCAGTTCTTGGCAGAAAGAGGCATCAAACGCCTCATCTCTCTTCCTTACGCTCACCAACAGCAGGGTGTGGCAGAAAGGATGAACTGGAACCTGCAGACAACCATGCGAAAGCTGCTACGTGGAACACGACTGCCCAACTCCGAATGGCCAGCAGCGATGGACCACGCTGTCCTCTTGCACAACTTGTTGTCCTCGTCTTCACTGCCCAACAACGCATCTCCGCACCTGTTGTGGACTGGGAAGCTGGGCAACACAAAAATGTTACGAGTCTTTGGGTGTATGGTACAGTACCGCCCACACACTGCACGCGCAGGAAGATTTTTGCAACGTGCACAGTGGGGTCTACACCTCGGGCGGGCAAAACATTACGAAGCTTGGCGAATCTTCGACGTCCACACAAAGGAAATAGTAGCAGCACATGATGTTATCTTCTATGAGCGACTCACCCTCAACCATTACCTGGACAACATCGCACGCCACGTCGACCCCACCGGCGTATTTTCTGGCTCACGAGCCTTCGCTTCATCCTCCGACGCTGCTGACTGGGAAGAAGAAAACGTTGACGGCGCCTACGAAGCTGCTGGACCCCTTCCCTACTGCTCCGTCCCAATCCCCATGGACGACGAAAATCCTCGCGACAGCGTCAATGCCGACGCCTACTACCATTTCGCTGACACTGGTTACGTAACACCCCAACCCGTCAACACCGACATTTCTGAACGCTATGGCCCCGGATTCGCACCTGATCCTAAAGCGGGAGACAAAGCAGTCTATCCCGAGGATCCCTTGCTGAACCGTCACACCCCCAGCGGACTCCAAGTCCTGGGACTCGTCGCTGCAGTGCACGGGCCTTCGACGCCACCTGAAGAGCCTCGCTCTGTCAAGCAGGCTCTGGGGGGGGAACACAAAGAAAAATGGCGCGAAGCCATGGAAAAGGAGTTAAAAGCGCTATCAGACCGCAACACCTGGAAGATCGTCCCTGCATCACTCACACAAGACAAACCCATTCTCTCTAAAAAAGGGTATTCCGGATCAAAACCAACTCCGACGGAACCATCGAACGATTTAAAGCTCGATGGGTCGTCCGCGGATTCGACCAAGAATTTGGTCGCGACTTCACCGAGACCTTCGCTCTAGTCAGTCGACACACTTCCCTACGCATTCTTCTCGCCATCGCCGCCTCACGTCGTCGCCCACTCCGACAAATCGACGTCGCCAACGCTTTTCTGTACGCTCCAGTCGACGCCGAAATCTTCGTTGAACAGCCACACGGGTTCGTCGACGACCCTTCCCGCGTCTGTCAACTACTTAAATCGCTGTATGGAATCAAACAGGCACCGCGACTCTGGCAGCAGTACCTGCACGCACGACTAACGCATCGGATTCAACCAACTGCCCCATGACCAGGGCATGTATCGCCTCACCCACAACAACGACTACGTCTTGCTAATCGTCTACGTCGATGACTTACTCTACATCGGGTCAACTACCGCCATCGTCACCTGGTTCGAAAAGGAGCTTCAGACGGATCTCTCCCTCACAGTCTCACTCGACGTCAAGCAGTACCTAGGGCTCAACATTCTCGACGAAGACAACGCCATTCATC